TCCATGCAGCTGTTGAAGTACTTGCTTTTTATACCCTTTTTCATGAAGACAACCTTAAAAAGGGTCTCCAGCCCCCAGAGAGTTAGAAGAATGATAGGATGGAGGTGTTCTGCCTACAAGAACGGGTAAGGTTGTTGTGCCTCAGCATTCCTGTGTCCTTGGGGTGCCTGTTCCTGCAATGGTTTCATTAGGTTTCTGGGGTGGAACGCTGCAACCACTGTAGATGAGATTAGCCACTGTCATTTATTATGTCCTAGTAAAGATGTATTTTGTGGAAGGTCTCATTACCTCTTGCCAGTTTTACTACAATCAATCTAGCAAAAACAAATATGAACAAAACTAATTTTACCAAAAAATGTGAAGCCAGCTATATACACAATACATTTCATACTGTGGTTTCAGGACTTTTAGACAGCAGAGGACAGTAAATATATATATATATGCAGCTCTAGATTCTCTAGGGAACTAACAAGTTGATGGACAGAGTATTTATCATCTCTTGGTCGCAGTAGGGTCAGATTCACCAGTTAAGTGAATTGTTGAGTCAAACTTCTTTGAAAGTGCTCTTCTTTGAAGGTTCAAGACACAAATTATGGGTCTTGACTGAGCTCACCCAGCACATCAGAGGCAATGCAACATCGGTATGTCTAATCTGCATGGAAGGCAGTGTAGGATTATAGAAAAGGTGCTGGTCTCAGCTGTTGCCAAAGACCTGGGTTTAAGTTCCAGCTTTAATTAGATATACAGTCATTGAATGTCTCTGGGCCTCAGTTTCTGATCTCTACAATAAAGGGTGTTAAAGAGATGTCATCTAATGTCACTTTAAATACTAACAACTTCTGACTTGAGAGTACTTCCAGTGGAATTTATGGAACTCTCATTCCACTTCCCAAAACAATCCCTAACCATCTGTATGCCCTAACTTCTGCTATTCCCTATCTTAAGCGATGGAATAAGAACCAAAAGGCTGGGGTTGGGGGATGGGGGGTGTACGGGAGAGGGCTAGATTAAGGAATATTTCCATTGCCTCTAAACCATGTTAAAACATTTGCTTCTTTTACAATAACTATGTTTTGTTAGAGTTTCTAAATACAACAGCACACATTTATAATAATCACATAATTGAAACAATGTTCATGCAGGTAAGTCTACAGAGGAATATTCAGATATGTATCATTTAGCAGCTTCAACTGCAAGATATATCACTCTCAATTACTTACTATATTATATTTTGGTATTCCTTATTTGACTTTTAGAAGGTAAAAAGGAATTTATTTATGGTTCATTAGAGTAAAATATATAAATGACCATAAAGCTTCACTGTGAAGTACTAATATTATTGTTTATACATTTAATAATAATACATCATCCATTATACCTTTGAAGAGAAAGCCTACTTGCCAACACCTGAATTGAAATATCTCCTCTTCAGTAAGAGACACAATACTTTTTAAAATGCTCAATAAGTGCATTAGCTCTATATCCTGATTGTTGCCAGTGGTTAATGTCACCTCCAAGCTGACAGCAACCTGACCAGGTACTGATGAATAACCCTGCTGTGCTCCTAACTTCTAGTGCTCATTCAAGTAACGGAAGGTTCAATAAGAATGTTTCTTTTTAATGCCTGTTCAGAATACCAGTATCTCCTGAAACCCTTAGGTTCATTGTTTCTCAATACCCAGTTGAAAAATGCAAAACTTAAGCAATTAACCATTTGTTTATCTCTTAATAGTCAAATAATATTTTCACTCCTCAGTTTCATTGAAATGACAGAACTAGTTTATTCACGATCTGTTTTGTTTTGCTGTTACCAATGTTGCCTTGAGTAACTGTGTTTTTAACGTTTTCTGGAGGATTTCTTTCTCAAATGTATAAAGTTACTGCAGTTCTTTCTCAGTTTTAAACTAGAATAAAAAGACAACTAAATCATTTCTAGGGTAAAATCAATTGCCTAAACAAACTTCATCACTACAGAAGGGATACACAGCAAGAAAGGCAGGACAGTTCTAGTTCAGGAAAACGCTAATATAATATAACATATTGGTGAAATTTATTACTCAACCTCCTTTTAATTGCTTGAACACTAGTTCAAACTCTGGTTGTGGAAAAAGCAAAATCTCCTAGTTGCATTTAATCAAGATTACATCCAGTGGAGAACATGGCATAGATATAACTGTTTTAGAAAAGTGATTGAGTACTTCCCACCGAGGAGTATCAATGCTCCTCCTTGTGGGACATTGATTGAGGAAGTATGAAGAAAAGCCCACGTTCAACTTCCCTTCTCAAATCAGTGCATACTTCACGCAGCTGCAGAAAGTTCAATCAGATGCTTATTTAGGGAGATGAGAGGCCAATGATCACAGCTCCTTGGAAAGCCGCATGGTGGTGCTTAGGCAGTCATTATGTTTTTCACTAATGAAAAGTTGGTTATAGGTTCCCTTCATTAACAACCCATAATAAAGATGAAAGCATATTCTTATCAGCAGTTTATTTCATGTAATGAAAATTGCTACAGGATAGTTTACCTCTGTCTGCAATCTTTAGAAAATGGCTTTATTCATGAACCAAAGTTGACACCAGAACTTCAGGGTATGGAAATCAACTTCTCCGTGGATGATTAATTTTTAATATACAAATCTTAATTGCCTTTAGCACAGGAGTATAAATGTAAGTACGGTATCAATCTAAATACTTACATAAAAATCCAGACCGAGGGCCACTGGGAGAATGCAGCTGCATTTTGAAGTCAAAGGATTAAGGGAGTAAAAATGCAAATGTGGTGATAAAGAGATTAGGGGGATGATCCACTGTGGTGGAAAAGCATTGCACAGGGTTGAGGGTCTGGGTTCTAAATGTTCTTCTGACAGTCACACAACCCTGGGCAAGCCCAGTCATTTCTCAGGGCTTCCGTTTTTTCATTTGTAAAATTTAAGGACTGGATTAGATTATTACTGAAATCTTGTTTCAAGTTTTGATTCTATTGATCTACAAGAACTTGTAAGACCTGATGGTCTCCAAACGCAAATTATACCCCTGACATATATAGACTTGTTTCTTTATAAATTATACACATATGCTAGAGTACTCATATGTCAAGTGTATTAAGAATACAACTTAAAATATTAAAAAGGATAAGGTAAAGATAAATAATATTTAAAGATAATTTACTTACTATATTTACCAACAATTAATTATATTGATGAAAGCAAAGAGAGATTGTGCTTCATTCTTTTTTAAACTCCTGGTTCAAAACCTTGGGACACAGTGATCCAAAGGTAATTCTAAGGCCACATTTTAAAAAATATTTTTAAAAGATTTTGTTTTTATTTATTTATTTTTAGACAGAGGGGAAGGGAGGGAGGGAGGGAGAAAGAGAAACATCAATGTGTGGTTGCCTCTCATGCGCCCCCCCTACTGGGGACCTGGCTCAAAACCCAGGCATGTGCCCTGACTGGGACTCAAACTGACAACCCTTTGGTTCACAGGCGGGCACTCAATCCACTGAGCCACACCAGCCAGGGCCTAAGGCCACATTTTTTTCCAATACTTAATTATAGGGGTAGACATAAATAAAACATAAATAAAATGAACACAAAACATATCATAAACAAAATGATATCTTACAAAGATATAAAGATCCAGATGGAAGGAATGTAAGAAACTAAGTTTATTAACACTCATATTTTTTTCACTCTCATCTAATATCAACACTAGTAACACAAGCTTTTGTTGAAATTCAGCTAATAATTTCCCCATAATGGTAAGAATTACTTCACAGTCAAACAGAAGATTCCAACCAAATCAGTAACTGAATTCAACATAAAATGACTGAATAGTACAATTAAAAGACAAAGACTCTCAGACTGGATTAAAAAACAACAACAACCTAGTGACACTTTTAAATGTCACATTTTAAATAAAAGGACGCAGAAAAGTCAAAAGAAAAAGCATGAACACAATATACTACCTACAAACTGAGCAAAAGGAAGCTGCCGTGTTATACAAATATCAGATCAAATAGATTTTAATGTCAGAAATCTTACTAACAATTAAGGGACATTTCATAATGATAAGACAGTTAACTCAACAGGAAGTTATAATGATTTTAAATGTGCGCACACCAAGCATCATAGACTCATAATATATAAAATGAAAATTGATAGCACCAAAAAAAGGAAATAACAAATCTACCATCATAGTTGTGGATTTTAATAACATTTTCCAATAACTAATAAAACAAGGAGCAAAAAATTAGTGGAGTAGAGATTGAACAACATGATTAACAAACGTGATCTAATGTTCATGGAACATTATCCTTTTCAAGTGCATAGGGCTCATTTACCAAAATGGAACATATTTTGAATGATAATATAAGTCTCAATTACTTTCAAAAACAGATCATATAGAATTTGTTTTCTATCACTGGTGGAACTCAACTATAAATCAATTTTTTAAAAAAAGGAAACTTGAAAATTCCCAAATGTTTGAATATTAAGCAACACACTGCTAAATAGCCCAGTAGGTCAAAGAAGAGGTGAAAATGGAAATTCTAAAATATTTTCAGTTAATTGTTAATGAAAATGAAACATATAAAAACATGGGCTACTGAGCACACACAAGACCATTCTGAACTGTGGTTTACATTTTCAGAATGTTAGGTAAATGCAGCAATAAATCAAATGGAAAACACATGGGGTTTTATTAAGTTACCTTCCAGTCCATTTATATAAATAACCTCAGTCTACTAATGTGACATCGGGGTACAGGTTCCTTCCTGAGCCCTGTATTTCTCAGGCTTTTAAGCACTGGAGAGACCAGTCAGGTGGGATTTATATCTGCCTCAACATTACTTCTCTTGGAGGCATTCATTCTCTTGTTCTTTACCTTGTGGCTCTTGCCTTATTCTGATGTAGTCAAAATAACCATTTCCTACTTTGTTTCATCATATTTTCCATCCGACTTTTCTTAACAGAGAACTTTTAATAAAGAATAGTGCATACCTGTGTCATAATACACTATAAGCCTTTTGCTGTGATTGCCCACAGTCTGTGGCTTGAAATCCACTTCCAGTTGCATGGACTCTCCCACAGTAAGAGTTCCAACAGTTGGCTCTACAGAGAACGGCCTGCAACATACATGAGACATACCATCAGGACACATTCCTGACCAGCGTGAGGGGAGAGGGAGCAGATACATGAGTTCTAGTTCTGAAGATGGCTCAGTCCTGATACTATAATTCAGTGATTCTGAAGTAAAGTAGACTTTTGCCCCTAATGTGAAAGAATTTTAGTTTTAATGTTAAAATAACAGTAATAAATCAGTAAGTTTAGGAGAAGCTGAAATGATGCAGTAATACTCTTGTTTGTGTCCTTGCTATTCAGCCATTTTTTAAAATTCATTGAGTGATTTCAGGAAGGGACAGATTTACAACATCTATGCAAATAATGTAATCTGGAAAAGAACAGTACCATCAAAGGAATAAAAATCAAGTTTTCTGAGAGTTCAGAGGAGAAAGGGCTTAATAATGGAAAAATATATCAGATTCCCCAAAGGAAAGTGATAACACAATCACATAAGGATAATTTGAGGGCAGTTTAACCAAGTATCTGTTTAAAGGAGGGGAAGAGATATAGAGGAACTACAAGAGATGATTCAACCACCCAAGCTTATTAGCAGCAGAGCTGTTACCACCTCTGGGCCCAAAGAGCCAAGGGGAGGAGTGATTTTAAAACCCTGAAAAGTTCTGAAAGAATGCTACCTTATGAGGAGCAAGGAGCTTTAGTCAAGACAGTCAGCCAGCCCAGGCGGCTTCTCAGGGAAGACATTAGTGGGGAAAGTGTCGTGACCTCACTTCCTCCTGTCTGACTGCCTGCTGGGCTCCCAATGCCTGAACCCAACCAGAAGCCAAAGGACCAAAGGACCAAAGGACAGGAGCCTGTTGACCTGTGCCATATAGGTCAGCCTCCTGGGGGAGGGCAAGGTGGAGATGGGTGGAAAGCATTTGAAAAAAGCAAACTCAGGATAAGTTCTGTGTCTTCAAAATGGAATTTGGGCATGAAGACACTATTGGAAGGTAGAGTGGATTTCGAAATAGTTTTGTTTAATTGCCCTGGAAGGGAGTAGTAAGAGAAGCTGGAACTGATCATGAAATACCTTAAATAATTTACAGAGTTCTTCTTTCAAAATAGAAAACCCAGTCCACTTAATTATTTTCATGCTCCATTTCACTTTTTAAAATTGCTTGTTTTTCAAAGTAATGCATTGTTCAATGTATCTGGCAGGCTAAGCTATTTGTGATTATTTACTTGTATCAAAAACATCCCTGCCCTGGCTGGTGTGGCTCAGTGGACTGAGTGCCAGCCTGCAAACCAAAGGTTGCCGGTTCGATTCCCAAGCAGGGCACATATCTGGGTTTTGGGCCAGGTCCCCAGTAGGGGGTATTTGAGATGCGGCCAATTAGTGTTTCTCTCCCTCTTTTTCTCCCTCCCTTCCTCTTTCTCTAAAAGTAAATAAATAAAATCTTTTTAAAAATTCCTTAAATCTTCCCTTAGATAATGAACTTAATTTCAGAAAACCTAAGCTTTCTTCTATGTGGGTGCAGAGCTTATGGCAAAGGTAGCATTGGGTGGTGTCTGAGATTACCACTGCAGGACCTCCAGTGCTTCCTCCCACAGTCAATTGTTTATTTTCTCTGGTGTTCTCCATTTGAATCTCCCTCTCCTGTCCATATTTTTCCATTTTGATATTTGTCCTTTTCCCAAACCCACAGAGCCAGTTCTCCAACAAGCACCAGGCATTGCTGTAGAGGTACTGTGGTGTAGTAGTTACAAGCCTGGAGTCAATGGAATAAGTTCAAAATCCAGTTCTGCCATGACTTTGGACAATTCACTGAAACGTCAGTTTCCTTATCTGTAAAATGAGGGTAATGAGAGCACCTACTTCATAAAACCCCATGGAGTGGGAAGTTGATATATATATGATATGCTTATAATAATGCCTGGCACATAGGAAGTACTAAACAAGTACTTACTATTATTGTTGTTATTGCTATTTTTTATCTCCCTCACTGGCAGCCCCTAGATGGAAGATGAGCCTGGGGATAATCTTGGGTATTTAGATGAGTTCAAATTTTTATAATTATCCTCTCAATCCTTTACACTGCTCTAGAGATTCTGTAAAAAATTCTCACAGGCTATAACACATCAATCTCTTATTCAAACATCTTCAGCAGTCCTCATAATTTATGCCATAAAGTTCAAAGTCCCAGGCACTCAAGGTCCCACACACTCTGCTCCCAAGCAGTTTTTGGATTCTCGTTAAAGACATACATCTGTCCAAACAGCCTATACACATGTCACATTGCCAGGCAGGCTGGGGTGGGATGGGATGGGAGGACTTGAGTATCAACTATCAGAAAATGCTTTTATAAAGAAGTAAAAATACTGTTCCTCAAGGGTATAAGGCTGGCTCCCTCTACCAAAGTATTTGGTTTTGATACCACATCCTCATTAATACCAAATACTTGATTAGGGAGAAAATTTGAGTTTGTGAAAAATCATGAGCCATGAGAAAGATTTTAAGGGACTTTGAAAGATTTTTATTCAATCCACTACAAACTGTTCTTAAGAACTAAAACTATTCCATCCAAATGATTCACCCATAACCTCACCTAGTACTACCACCTCCCTTCCCTTCCAACCAGACTGTGCCTCCCCCAGACGTTCCATACTCCTCCCCAAGTCACTTCTCACAGCCCAGACTCAAAATCCCGTCTTGAATAGAATCTTCCCTTATTCTCCCTCTTCATGATAATGTCACCTTCCTCTCAGAGGCTTTAATTTTCTTTATTTCTTACTTCAGTTTACCTTGTATTATAGTTAGTTTTCATGCCTCTCTCAATAGTTAGAGACTCTTGAGATGAAAGGAAAGGGAAAGGAAGCAAAATTTCATGAGTGCATACTCTATGCTGGGTACTACATGGGGCACTTTACATAAGTCAATCCCTCTAATCCTCAAAAAATCCTTGAGAAAGTAGATGTTGTTATTTGCATTTCAGACATGAGAAAACAGATGCTCCCACAGGGCAGGCAACTGTCCCAAAATTACCCAGCTAGGTAGTGGTAGAGGCTGGATGAAAGCAACCCTTCAAGTTCAAATTCTTTCTGTCTACCCTAAACCACCCCTTGAAGGTGGAAGCAACCTGGTTAGATTAATCTTTGTGTCTCTCACTACCCCATGCACAGTTCTTTACTGATAGGAGTCTCTCAGAAGAGGTTGTCAAATTGAATTACAATAAACTTTTAGAGGGAAATTAAAATATCTGTAATCATAAATTAATGTTTATAACACCTTCGTAGAACAGAAGAGGAATGGACTTTCAGTATCTCAAGAATTTCTGCTTCAGGTGAAATGGAGTCTCACAGTCTCAAAAGTTCCTTCCTTCCTTGTGGCCTTAGTAAGAATCTAAAATGTTAAGAACTCGACATAGTTTTCTGGTTTGGGAACAACATAATCTACTGTAATGTTTTTTGCTATCTTTGCCTCCCTAGTTCCTAATATTTTTCTTCCTACACTGAAATGAAATTGTTTTCATTTTCTTTTCAAATATGTCTTGGTAGCAAAAAAAAAAAAAAAAAAAAAAAAAAAGTTTTGAAATGATTTGGGTAGTATTACATTGCAGAACCTAAGCTAATTTTCTATGGGGGAAAAAAAGTGACCCTCCTCCAGGAACTCCAAAAATCCAAATTCCATACAGAGGTAACAGATACTTTCCTGTTGTGCAATGGGGTGGATTTATATTACACTAAATTTCTTCGGTATGTAGAAAATCACCTGGGATAGCTATAGCTACTTAGAGCTGCCTAAGCTCTCTCAAATAAATCAGACCTTAATTGGGTAGAGTGTATTAAGTTCTGGTGCTTAAACATTGCCTATAATTTAATTTTGTACTCCATTTTACTAAAAGCAGACAGGCTGAACAGGCTAGAAAATATCAACTATCAGAAAATGCTTTTATAAAGAAGTAAAAATACTGCTCCTCAAGGGTATAGGCTGGCTCTCTCTACCAAAGTATTTGGTTTTGATACCACATCCTCATTAATACCAAATACTTGATTAGGGAGAAAATTTGAGTTTGTGAAAAATCATGAGCCATGAGAAAGATTTTAAGGGACTTTGAAAGATTTTTATTCAATCCACTACAAACTGTTCTTAAGAACTAAAACTATTCCATCCAAATGATTCAGTATTTTAGCAGAAGACTGAGTATTGAATATTAAATACAATATTAATATTTTTGTTCAGATAAGCTTTTTTATTAACTGGTTCTTAACCTGAGGTTTTAGATTTTTAAATTGCCTTTTAAATCTTTCTACTCTACCTTCCGAAATTAATTCTACTTTAATAGTCAAAGTTATTCTGGTACTTACTAGAATGTTAGGTCAAATCTGCAATAAAGTTGAAGAGTAATTGTTTATGTTCTCTATATATTTTATAGCACATTGCGGCTCCTTATATTAGTGTAAAAGACATTATGCCTATTTTATAGTACTTGGAGCATGTTTTATATTTTAAATTATTGTAGAGGTTTATAGTTGTAGCTTTGCCTTTGTGATATATTGTTGGTTAGACATCCTATAAACATTTATTGAGCACTTACTTATTTTAGATACTTCGCTAGATGCCAGGGACATACAAATGAAGAGTTAGATACAACCCTTGCATTTGAGAAGTTCATATTCTAATGGTGCCAACAGACATACAAAGTTTTTTTTTAAAGATTTTATTTATTTATTTTTAGATAGAAGGGACGGGAGGGAGAAAAAAAGGGAGAGAAACATCAATGTGTGGTTGCCTCTCCTGTGCCCCCTACTGGGGACCTGGCCCACAACCCAGGCATGTGCCCTGACTGGGAATGGAACCAGCAGCCCTTTGGTGTGCAGGCCAGCGTTCAATCCACTGATCCACAACAGCCAGAGCCAGACAGATAAAGTTTTATCTTACAATTTATATGAACTTCACCATTTATAAACTTAAACATTCATTAAATCATTATTTCAATGAAAAGAAAATGATTTTTTTTAATCCTCACCTGAGAACACTTTTTTCTTTGCTTTTAGAGAGAAAGGAAGGGAGAGAAAGAAACATTGCAGCGAGAGAGAAGCATCAATCGTACTTGTCCAGACTGGGGATTGAACCCACAATCTAGCCATGTGCCCTGACTGGGAATCAAACCCACAACCTTCCAGCTATGGGATGACTCTCCAACCAAGTGAGTCATACCAGCCAGAGCAAGACTATGATATTTTTAAAACTATTTCCTGTGAGATATTAAGTGAATATTGACTTAAAAAGTAGCAAGACCAAGAGTATATTCTGGATTTTTGACTGACTCCAAAGTCTCAAACTATATCCACTGCTCTACCATGTCTATTGACAATCATATTAACTGAAATAGTGGTACCTAACCCTGTCTGGTCAATACAATCACCTGTGTATTTTTTAGAATGGATACTTGTCAGGGGATCTACCAGAAATTTAGATTCACACCACAAATTCAATTGCATCCTTTTTCATTGTAGCCTTCGGAGTTCTCAGTTGTAAACATCAGCAACCAACTCTGGCTAACAAACAAAAAAAAGGATTTATTGGATGGATTTGAAGTAGCTCACTGAATAGACAGCATGGCTGGAAAACATGCATTTTGTGGAAATAACATAGAACTACTATTTCATGCAAAGTCTAAGCAGGAAACAAAAACATTTCCAAACAGGGAATTTAATTGAGAGACTTAGTTACACAAAAGATGGAAAATGATGAGAAGCCCGATTTAATACAAGTGAGATAGCTCAGGGATTAGTAACAGTAAGCCATTTCCACCCCTGCGCTGGAGACAAAAGATGAAGAGGAAGTGAGGACCTGGCAGGAGATGGAACCACAGCAGGCTTGTCTGACAGGAGCTAGAACTACAAGAAAATGCATGTGCTTGCTGGGGACTCTGCTGAAGTCAGAGAGGGAAGGGGAGAAGTATCCTGGCTTCTTCCTACTCTCTAATCTCCTTCTAGTTCTCCCAACTTGTCAGACACGGCTGATATCAAGCTGACTCAGGAGGTTAGAGGAGCTAACACAGCCCACAGCGACATTGAAGGGAAAGGGTGAGGAATGGGTCTGAGGGTACAGAAGCCCAGAACTGGCCCATGTTTGTTTTAATCCAGGCTTCGCTATTAATTTACCAGGGGAACTTAGATCTAAGTCATTTCCCTTTTCAGACCTTACTTCCATCACCTGTAAAAAAGAATGTTGGACTATAGTGTCTAATGTCTTTATAATCCCTGACTAGTCATTAATGTGGCTCACCATTTTACCTTGGAAGTGTTTCTATATTAGGAGAAGATGATTCACATTCACAGCTATGGATAGAGAAGTTTGAGGTCTTTTCCTGCAACTTCACACCACTATATCTGTGGAGTGATTTTGTTTCACTTTGCAGGAACAAAATGTGTAAAGAAATAATCATTTACGTGTAGTTTTGAAGATTCAGCCAAACACTCCAGGAAGATATGCTGTCTGCACTTGTTTTGCTCACCTTAGGTGGATTCTCTTTTTCACTGAAAAAATATCAATGCAACAGGAAGTTTTTAATGTGTATCATACATGGTGGTTGTGGGAGGCTTTTCTTTAAATTAAAAAGAAAAAAAGACTGCTTCTTTCTAAGCCATGGTGAGCCAGTTGAACAACCTGATTCCTTCTCTTTCAATCAAAATAAGTCTCACCACAGGATGACAAAGGCTGTACAAACACTGGTGGACAATGTCAGGAGACACTGGTCTTCAAAAGAACTTTTCCTTTGCTTTTGATCGTTGATTTATCTAACATGATTCAGAATCCTGCTTCCGTGTGACTAAGGATGCAGAAAGCTAGAGTGTCTCTCCTACCTAACAATGAAAAAAACACAGATAAACAGAAAAAATCACAAGTTTTCTTGAAGACATCAGAGAGCTGAGGTTGCAGGGCAAACAAGGGGCCTGAAATCTAAAAATGGGCCACCTCCACCCCACCAAGGGGGATGGGACACTTGCCAACTGTTTACCCTATGATTAGAAGTTCCCTACAAGCAGACGAAACAGTGAGAGAGGATGGAGTAGAAGAAATATTTGAAGAGATATGGCTGAGATTTTCCAAAAATAAAAAGATCCAGGAAGCTCAGAGAATATCATTCAAAATTGAAACTAAAACTAAACAAAAGCAAAATAAATTCCTCAAAAAAACCCCACACCTAGACACATCATACTCGAAGTACTAAAAAAACGAATATGGGTGGCAAAAGTAGGTTTACAGTTGTGAGTACAAGATATACAGTTTATTCTTATATTATTATTTATTTATTAATTATTGTATTATTTATTTGTATTACAACCATAAGCCTACTTTTGCCCATCCATATAAGGAAAAAATCTTGAAAACAGCCCCCAAAAAAGACATATAGATGAATAAAGATAGGAGTTATGCAGACTTTCATGAGCAAAATGTAAGCCAAAAGACTACAAAATAACATCATTAAAGTACTTTAAAAAATGTGTATATATTATGGTCAATTCAGAATTCTATACTATAGAGAAAACACATTTCAAAAATGAAGGCAAAATACTTTTTTATTAAATAGACAAAAACTGAGAGAATTTCCAGGAGACCTGTGCTACAAATAAATATTAAAAATATTTTTTCAGCCAGAAGAAATACAATACTAGACAGAGATTCAGATCTATGTGAAATGGTTCAGAGAGAGTGATGCTCCTGGGACACATGAAAGAATAAATGCAATCACCTCCCGAGGGATGTGCCTTCAACATGCATTATGGCAGCCCTGCCACCTACAATACTGCAGACCGAGTAACTTGAAAACTCTTCTACAAGAAATACCTAGAAAGACTGGATAAAATATAAGTTACATAAATGTGTGCCTGAGCACACAAATAATTAAGGCAAATCCACAAGATTCAAAAATGAAGAAAAATCTAAGAACCAGAGCCGTAAGCCACTGAGCTGATGCTGGGTCTGCCCTGGGCTCCCAATAACCTTGATGCCTGGGTTTTAACAGCCAACCTTGAAATGGTCAAGTCAGGGAATTTATAACAAAATCCCCATATAAAACCTGGAAACTTGAAGGGCTGCCAAACCATTACAAGGGAAAATTCTCTCTTGGTTTTGAGAGAAAGAAATAAAGTTTCTCTAGGGATTCCTAATTTTGGACATGCAGATTTGGGGTTTGAATATTCACTATCAGTCCACGAATCCCCAAGCCAAAAAAATTACCAGAAGAGTAGTCTACATAGTTTAATTTTTGTGCATCAGGCAGAATTCTGGAGAAATGTGTCCTTAAACCAGCAAAGGATTCGACAGATAAAACCCTTCTAAAAATGAGCTCACAATCCAGATCAATATATACCCTTTCTTTAAGTCATGGAAAAGCACTTGACTCTCTGTTTCCTATCCTCCTAAACTGGTCATTCTTATATAGCCCTGCTGATTAAACACCGTTTTCAAGTTCCATAACAATTGCTCTTTCCCATCTGGTAAGAGAATTCCTTGAGGGCAATGACTGCCTCATTGGCCTTTATATTGTCCCAGAGTGTCTACTACCCTGTAGCTAATTCTCAAATAATCAGATGAAAATCTAACTCCTTCACCTATACTAGCTTTGTGTTCTTGAGCAAGTAATACAGCCTCTCTATTGCTCTGTTTTCTCATTTTTGAAGCCTGCAAAAGCAGGTTGAGTTCTTAGCACATGTCATCACTCCAAACTCTGCTGCCTCCTCCTTCTATTTTAAAGACCCTTGTGATAACATTGGGCCCACCCAGGTAATCCCAGATAATTCCCCATTTTAAGGACAGCTGATTAGCAACCTTAATTACATCTCCAAACATAATCCCCTGTGGTCATATAATACCACAGACTGACAGGTTCTGAGGATTAGAACGTGGACATATTTGAGGAGCCACAACATTGGCAGTAGTTCATTTGAACAATAAAAGAACACTTACTACATAGCACTTGCTATGTACTGACAATTTACATTTATTAATTCATTTATTTCTCACAACAACCTTATTAAGTGGCTTTTACACTTTTTCCTGTTTTTCAGATGAAAAAACTGAGCACCATGAGCCAAAGAATATGGGCGACCCCTAGAAGCTGGAAAAAGCAAAGAAATGGATTCTCCCCTCAAGCCTTTAGACAAGAACACAGGAAGGCCTCTGGTCTACTGAAATGTTAGATAATAAATGTGTGTTGTTGTAAGCCACTAAATTTATGGAAATCTATTATAATAGCAATAGAAAACCAACACAGTTATAAAATTCTTAGTCAAAACAAATATGCTTATTAATAGATTCCCATGGGCCATTCTGTATGCTAAGTAGGACTCTCATCCAGCATTTCAGAAAAGCTTCCCTACCCAAACAGGCAACCTTGAAATTTGGTTTCCTCTTGAGAAGAAGGAGAAGTCTGCCCTACATCAGTGAGATCTCCCAGCTTTGCAACTAAAGACTGTAACAAGCAGTTCCAACTCCAACTGCTATTCCAGCAAATTACTTTTGCTGACTAGATGCAGATATAATCAATCAAAAACGAGAGCCAAAGGAATGCATACCTATAAGTTGTGATATGAAACACAGCGTCTTTGTTGCCAATGTTTCGTACCAGCAGAATCTTCTGAGTGCTGTATTTGACAGGGCAAGTGGAAAAATTCAGCTGGTCAGGAAAATCTAGGATGGCCCGTGCACCTCTGGCTTTGATGGGTACAATAAATTTTTCTCTTTCAGTAACACAGGTCAACATATGAGCATAATCCTACAGGAGAAGATACAATCATTATTTGTGGAAACACCAACATGATCAATATAGCTGGGCAAGATATATAGTCATAGGCAGGCATCTAGCAAAAAAAATTAATATATTCTATGAAACTTTCTCAAGACAATTATAGTTGTATTTCCAATGAAATCCTCTTTTCTGACAGAGAGAGAACAGTTCAAGTGTTAAAACCTACAGGATAATAGAAAGCTTATGTTTCATGTGTTTCCCAGATATTAGGGAGGTGGAATAGGACATGACTGATGCACATTTTTGTTTAGGTCAGAAGAGATTCACACCAGTTCCCTCACATCCTCCTTCTAACTATGCCTATTTAGTCTTCAAGAACCTATGTTAGATTGATGACTCCTATAATGGTCTTTCTATGCCCGCACTCTTTACGATATGACTTTCACTCCTCCATTATGAGTGGAATCTTTTTCTCTACCCCATGCTTTGACCAATGGAATGTGGCCAGTTCCAAGCTGAAGCCTCAGGAAGCTTTGGGCATTTCCAGTCTTGCTCCTGGAACCCTGCCACTGCCATGTGAACAAGCCCTGTCTAGTCTACTGCAAGGTGAGAGCCCGGATGTCCCAGTCACAGTCATGCTAGACCTGCCTTCAGCCCCAAATATGTGAGAGAGCCCAACCAAGATAAGCAGTTGCCTAACCAGCCCATGAATTGGCCTAGTCAAGACCAGCTGAACCACAGTCTTGTGAGCAATAATAAATGTTTATTATTTAAACCATTGAAGTTTAGGGTGGTCTGTTACTGTACAACAATAAGTAATTGATAACATAACCCAGTTTAAACCTCACCTCTTGAGCCAAACCATTACTGACCATTTCAAACCATTACTGACCATTCCAAGACTGGGGCCTGTATCGCCCCCAGTCTTGAGTCTAACTGCAACACAAATGCTGAATTAAGTCACCCTTTATGTCATCTCTTTAGATAGAAAAACAGAACTCTCATCTTCAGTGTAGGGGGAAAAAGTTAGAAGTAAACCCTCACCAACAAGCAAAACTAAATATAAAAGGAAAATGTTAACAGCCTTCTCAAGAACAGGCCCACTATTAAATAAATTTGTTATCGAAACCAGGTTTATTTTTCTACATTTTAGGTTTTCCTATCATTTTAGTGTATATTTTAGCTGCAAGCAATCTTCATAAATGTAAAGTCCACTTTGAACGTGAGTTTCCTTTTGGTAATCATAAAATAAATGGTACTCAGTGCAGGTTTAAAAAAGAAAAAACTTTGAGCTTTAGGCATAGAGTAGGAATGTGAAAGTTTAACAAACAGGTTGGCTTATAGACCTGGCCATGCACTCAATTTCATGAAACCCACAGGACAAACAAAAAGCAATGGTATCCCAATTAGTTTATTCATTCAAACATGTTTATGAAGTGTTCAGGCACTGAGCTAGGTCTGGGAATACCACTGAGTAGGACACACAGGCATGGATCACTTTGAGCTTATGTAAGAATGAAGGAGACAATGAACAGGTAAATAAAGCATATCTAATACACAATGTAATACATATACAAATAAAGATAAAAATAAAATATCCAGAAACACTCCCATGACAGAGTCCTTACACTTGTAGTCTCTCTGCCTCCCTAACGCCAAAGTCATACCCAGCTGTCCGGTTAGCATCTCACTGGATGCAAACTTACCATGTCCCAAAGCAACGTCCCTGCTTAATTCCCCTGCCAGCAACTGTGCATGAAGATGCCCTGCCAAGGGGAAGGAATGGGGGCTGAAGTCCAGCCCATTCTGCCGGCTCCAAGTGCATCAGACCAGAGAGGGAGCCTTTTTTCTCGTGCCCTCAAAGGCCCCACAATGCCAATTGAGCCCCTGCTCATTGACCTTCCCTCCACCTAACCTGTTCCCTCTCTGTCTCCTGTCTCAGTCTGGCATCTCTATATTTCCAGTGGCCTGGATTTAAAACCCTGGGATGAGACATCCTTGGCTGCCCTATTTCTCAGTTTATTAGTATATTCTGTAGGACTGACCTTCAAAATATACCCAGACCACAATGACTTCTCACCGCCTCTGCTACCCTGCCACCCTGGCCCTAGCCACTTTGATCTTTCCCAGGCTAACTGGACTCTCTATTTCAACCTTTGCTCCTCTAAAGTCTATTTTCCACACAAGGGTCAGAGGGATCCAGTTCAAATGGAAGTCAGTTCAGGCTGCTCCCCTGTTCAAGAGCTCCTGAGCTAAGAGGGTTCAGGAGCGCTACAGCCTGGCAGCCCTGTCATTTTCTCCCCCATTTCTTCCTCTCCCCCTTGCTCACTGTGTTCCAGCTACAGGCTTCCTTGCTGCTCCCTGAGCATGCTAGAGATGCGCCTCCTTCAGAGCCTTCAAATACGATGCTCTTTCTGTCTATATATAGTTTGCTCCCTCATCTCCTTCAGGACTTTGCACAATGGTCCACTTTCTCACCAAGGCCTCCCTTGACTGCCCTATTTTAAACTTAACTCTCCTTCTCCTCTCCCATCACTCCATAGCCTTTTGTTTGGCTTTAGTTTTCCCAAAGCCATCTAACATATTATATATTCTACCTTTTTATTGAGTCTATCATATGTCTTCCCCCAATATCACCATAGCAACAGGGATTCTGCCACTTATGTTGACCTCATATCCCCAGTGCCTAGAACAGGGCCTAGTGCTTAATAAACATTCAACAAATATTTGCTGAATGCAGGAAAATGAGTAATATAATGTTGAGTGAGGAAAAATAAAGCATGGTAAGGGGAAGAAGAGTGAGTAGAGTCCTATTTTATATAGGGTGGTCAGGAAAAGTGTCGATGAGGAGGTGGCACTTCGGCAGAGGCATAAGTGAAGTGAGAATGAAGCCATGTGGGTGAACGGCAGTCTGGGTGAAATGCGACGCAGAGCCTGTGGCCAGAGGGGAACAGCATAAGGAGAGGTGAGAGACATTGCAGGAATGTTGTGGGGAGCCAGATCAGGCACGATCTTGTAAGCCACTGTTAAGACATGAGGATGGCCAAAAGAATTAATGATGCCGAACGCTGACCATTATGCACTGATTCACGTTTTAGAAAAATCGCTAGCTTCTATGGAAAAAAGAGAGGCCAGAAGCCATTGCAATAGTCCAGGAAAGAGAGAGCAATGACCTGGCCTAGTGTTTAGTGAGTAGTAAATATCTAACCAATGTTAGCTATCATTATTAAAATGTTGTATGACATACAATGATTTATGTAGGGCATATAGGAAAAATTCAACTTGTGTTTACTCTTATTGTCAGGAAAATAATAATGATAATCCTGATAACAATAATAATAATAGAACAAGATAAATTCAGAAAACAACAAGGGCTTTGGAGAAAATAAAACTTTGTAAAATGCTAATGTGGTGACTGCTTTAGGCTACAACAACCAAGGAGGCCTCCCGGAGGAGGTGACCTTTGCATAAAGATCTGAACACAAAAAGGAGCCAGTCAAGCAAAATCTAGGAATGGAGTGTCCCTGGCAAGGGAAATTGCAAACATAAATACCATGAGGTTGAATCAAGTAATATAAATTAATGGCCAGTATTTATAAAATTCATTAAAATTGAGTTGTTGGAATCTTAACTCTTCAATTGATTCTGGTTTCTAGATGGTAATGCCAAGCCGAAAATTATATTACTTGGACACATGGAAGTACAAATTACACTAAGCATACCTGATCCTGGAAAACCCCACAGAATTCAACAACGAAACAGTATACTCTGATTACATCAGAATCTTAAAGAGATAAGTGATATTTTCATTTTTTCTTAGGAGGCCAAACCTAGCAAGCAAAGGTTTTGTTGGGAATTAGAAACCGGAAAGCTCCTGGCACATGTGGAAACAATATTATCTGAGGCTTTGAGAGAAAACAAAAGATGTTGCTGAATCCAGGATGAGAGGCGATCCCAAAGTAATTTGTCCTATTTTATGCTATATTTATATATCCTCTGCCTTGTTCTGTAAGAAACTGAACACAACAGGAAATAGTTTAGAAAGCTAATTGATATATTCACAGAAATGTTTCCAAACCTTTTCAAATTTTCAAATGAGGAAGATTTGAAGTTTGGATGGAATGTAGGGGTGGGCAAAAGCAGATTTGAAGTCAACCACATCAGGATGCGATGGGGCTAACCCAAGCAGGTCACTGAAATTCAGGTTTGTTTACTGATTTTCAAAGGCTACAAAATGTGTAAATCATGAAAGCCAGCGACTTGAGCACTTACGAGATTGTACCTAAGTGCGCTGTGCCATTGCGACATTCTTTTGAGTTAATAAAGCCCATGTGTGGCATTCTTTTGAGCTAATAAAGCTATTGTAATAATCATAATCTGCATGTCTTTTTCCATATGAACAACTGTAAACCTGCTTTTACCCACTCCTGAATCTTTTTCTTAATAATCAATTCACACACTCGTAAAAGATGATGAAGAAATTCTTTAAACAGCTCCTCAAAAAATGTATTCCAAATTCTGGAGCTCTATATTTAATATGACTGTATTAGATTAAATAATATACAATCATATATTGCTATGCTGTCCTAAAATTAATTCAGATGCTATGAGTGAAGAGGCTCTGTCGGCCTGCAGGCTGAGCAATTACTTCCGTTGATGTACTCCCTTCCACTGTACTGAGATTCAGAGCCATCAGGTCACAGTTCAGAGCCAAAATATTTATTCTGAGTTCTGGATAATTACTTTGTTTCCTCTGTAACAATGCTCTCCAGATGAAAATTCCAATCCACTTTTTGTCTGTTAGCCTTCCTTCTAACATGCCTCTCCTCCTAACTTTTTAATAAACAGCAGTAGAATATGAAAATGGCAGATTTAGCTTTCTGAAAATGAAAAGAATAAATCTTTATTTTACATTTGCTCCATGATACAAGGCAAACATGGCAGTAATTCCGTCCTTTAAATTCTCAGGCGAAGGAAAATGATGTCTTCTGTAGGAACTGCCTCTCGAAGTATTGGAGAGAAGGGGA